CCATGGAAAAGTTATTTAACCTTTTTTGAGACTCAGATTACTCACCTATAAAAAATACTCGGCAGAAGTATTTTTTAAAGTGTTAAACATAATCCATTAAACCGCCTGCCACATAGGGTATTCAACAAATGGCTGCTATTTTGCAAACATCCAGAAAAGGAGAGTGCAATATCATTCTGAACCCTGAATTCATTATTCAGCTGTCAATAAATTCAAAATTTGTTTCATGAATATTTTTCTGAGTTTTTTTTTTTCCTTGAGACGGAGTCTCGCTCTGTCGCCTAGGCTGGAGTGCAGAGGCACAATCTCAGCTCACTGCAACCTCACCTCCCAGGTTCAAGTAATTCTCCAGCCTCAGCCTCCTGAGTAGCTGGGTCTACAGGCGCACATCACCATATGCCCGGCTAATTTTTGTTTGTTTGTTTGTTTGTTTTAGTAGAGCCAAGGTTTTACCATGTTGGCCAGGCTAGTCTTGAACTCCTAAGCTCAAGTGATTTGCTTCCCTCAGCCACCCAAAGTGTTGGGATTACAGGCCACTGCGTCCAGCCTGTTCCACAAATTTTGAGAATAGGACCAGTTAGGAAGTGAAGGCCTAGCAAATTTACTGCAATGCACTTAGTAATTAAAACCATGGATCATAATATTGCAGGAAAACTCTACTATATTAAAAGATCATGCTGCATCTCATATATTTACCCAAATCATTTAAATATTTATATTTTTAGAAGCCTAAGAAAAATATTTGCACAGCCATTTTAAACAAAGAAGGCATTAAGTAGTATATACATCATGGTCAACATTTGTCACCATTTTATAGCTAGCTTAAAAATGAACACAGAAGGAAGTCCCATAAATCAAGTTATGACTACAACTTCCTCAAATACAGAAATACTGCAAACAAATATAACATTTTTACTTCTTCAATTTTAAATCATAAGTAATGTTAACTCAAAATAAGCTATATGCCTGAAAACAAACTATCTACTTAACAGATATGCAGTAGCAAGGGCCTTTTATTAGTTTTCTGTGGCTGAGACCATTTTAAAATGTGGGAGAAAACCCACTATTGCAAATAATGCATTTTCTAACTCTGCATAATAGCATGTGAATTACTAAAGATGGCTCTAACAACAGAAAAACCAATGAGGAATGGGATCCCATGGACACAAGGCCTCAATCAGTTGGGATCTAGGTCTAAAACTTACAAATCATCTGTCTAGAACCATTTGTTGGTCATCATGTATTCTGCGAATACAAAAGAATGCCAAATAGAGAGCAGTATGAAGAAGAAGAGGCAAGAACGAACCCCGGACCGACCAAAGCCTGCATGCCACTGCACCCTGTGCCAGGCGCTTACCTCCCACCACCGTCGCCACCACCATGCCCAAGAGAAAGGGTGAAGGGGATGCCGAAGGAGATAAAGCCAAGGTGAAGAACGAACCACAGAGAAGATCCGTACGGTTGTCTGCTAAACCTGCTCCTCCAAAGCCAGAGCCCAAGCCTGAAAAGACCCCTGCGAAGAAGGGAGAGAAGGTACCCAAAGGGAAAAAGGGAAAAGCTGATGCTGGCAAGGAGGGGAAAAACCCTGCAGAAAATGGAGATGCCAAAACAGACGGGGCACTGAAAGCTGAAAGTGTTGGAGATGCCAAGTGAAGTGTGTGCATTTTTTATAACTGTGTACTTCTGGTGACTGTACAGTTTGAAATACTATTTTTTATCAAGTTTATAAAAATGCAGAATTTTTTTTTTTTTTTTTTTTTTTTTTTTTTGAGATGAATTCTCACTCTGTCACCCAGGCTAGAGTGCAGTTCACTGCAACCTCAGTCTCCTGAGTAGCTGGGATTACAGGCAGGCACCACCACGCCCGGCTAATTTTTGTATTTTTAGTAGAGATGGGGTTTCACCATGTTGGTCAGGCTTGTCTCGAACTCCTGACCTTGGGTGATCCACCTGCCTCAGCCTCCCAAAGTGCTGAGATTACAGGTGTGAGCCACTGTGCCTGGCCACATTTTTTTTTTTTTTTTTTGGTAGAGTTTTACTCTTGTTGCCCAAGCTGGAGTGCAATGGTACAATCTCAGCTCACTGCAACCTCCGCCTCCCAGGTTCAAGCAATTCTCCTGCCTCAGCCTCCCAAGTAGCTGGGATTACAGGTGCGTAACATCACACCCGGCTAATTTTTTGTATTTTTAGTAGAAATGGGGTTTCACTATGTTAGCCAGGATGGTCTCGAACTCCTGACTTCAGGTGATCCACCTGCCTCAGCCTACCAAATTTCTGGGATTACAGGCGTGAGCCACTGCGCCCGGCCACAACTTTCAAACTCCCTTCTTCAGTAGACCACCAAAAATCAGAAAGCCACTCTAAAACCCAACAAAGTCTTCATCTGATGCTGTGAACAGGGAAGTTTAGAGTGAGGGTTGACATTTCACATTTAGCATATTGTTTAACAACTTTTCACCAGCTGACCCTGACTTTCAGGAAGTGAAATGAAAATAGCAGAATTTATCTGAAGAACCAATGCTCTTTTGACGGATGCCATCTCAGTGGCATCACTGGAGAGTCCAGATTGCCTTACACACTGGTAACTAATGATTGGGGATCAGGTCCCAACAGATGTCTGGGTTTAAGGGAGTTAAGTCTCTGCTGAAAGATGGAAAGGGAGAAGAGGACATAAAAACAAATTTGTTTTCCATTCCACAAGGTTTTACGTGCCAAGGTGGCCATGTGTGTTAAAGTCAGGGAATCCCTCCTCCCGGGAGCCAAGAGGAACTCTCTCAAAACTAGAAGGGAAAGGTGTTTTCCCCACATTCGTCCAGCTTCGGAGACATTCCATCAGTGACATATGGCCCTTCCCCCAAAAACAACAATGAAGTGTTCTGTGTGCTAACAACATAGCTAAAAAAAAAAAAAAAAAAAAAGAGAGAGAGATAGGGTTGGGGGGAAAGAAAGTTGTTGTATACTGTTAATGATTGTCTGCTCATGTCCTGCCTGAAATACCATGATTGTTTATGGAAAGTATCTCTACTAAAGCTGGATACAGTTTTACTTGGAAAAAAAAAGAACGCCAAATAGCAGATGCTCAATAATCACAGGCATAATTCTGAAATAAAACCTGAGAATGAACCAAATATTAATAATATTACTGGCAATAAGGGCAAATCCCTTGGGTAAAGCTGAAGAGCTGAAGGTACTAGTATTACAGAATCTTTATCATCTGGTATGTGGAATTTAGCCACCCATGCATACAGGTACCATATTATATGTAACATTTATGTTGTATGTAAAATATGGGAGTATATTTTGTTGGAACCAATAAGCTTTTAAAACATATTTCATATCTATTACATTTACATTCTCTCTGCCCCACTGTGGAATAATTACCTAATGCTTAACAATTCTACTAGTTTGCAGAGTAGTACTTAAAGAATAATTATAATTATAATTGAAATTTTGAAAATGCAGCAGATACGAAAAACTTTGTTTTACATTTTTCAAAAAGCAATTAATAAATTAACATTTACTGTTTACCATTAATTCAATACACTTCTGTTGATCACAGTAGAGGTGCTGTGTCATGCTGAATGTTCACTGAGAATACAGTATGTTTCAGGTTCTGCAGAAGGAGCTTCAGACACTGAGAAGCTTGTAGACTTATCTACCAGGTGCCAGATACTGCTAGGCACCTTTGATAATACGGATACTCCTCTCACATATCCCTGCAAGGCAGATGATACTGTACTCATTTCACAGAAGAAACTGAACAGATTAAATTACTTGCCCAAATTCAGTATGTCATGAAGCCAGAATGCAACCCCAAGTCTGTCTAATTCTAAAGCCCATGAACTTCCCATGGGCTTTGTCTGCCTCTTCCTCTCTTAAATGGAGATAATGCATCACAGGTTCCTGCAAACAGCAGGAGAACTTACTGTGAACACATTTGTCCAGGAGAAGAAAAACAAGCCAGAGATGACTCCCAACACACTGGACAGCATCAATCACATACATAAATTAGGGAGTGCTAATTGTTTCTTATCTCTTGGTATAACTCTCTGAAAGGAAGAAAAGGGTAACCAGCATATCCCCAGGTACATGACGAGTGCCTGTTTCAGGCAAGTGCAACTAAAGTCGGCATCCAACAAACACCCGTTTCTACTCTTCACAGGGGATGACATGTAGTGACGGGCAATTTTGGCAATATGTAGTCATCATATATTTTGAACACTGTTAGTTACATATGGTTTTTAGAATATTCATATGATTTTGCTGCTCATTAAAAATTAATGGAGAACTGGCATTGTTATCTTTGTAGAAACCAATAAAACATATTGGGTAAATGGTAGGCATAAGGCAAAGAACACTGCTTCAATTTAATATACTTCAGATGCAATCTGGAGTAACTGCTAAACAGACAATGTAGAAAATATACTCACACTAAGACAGAAAAAAGTAGAAATGCTAGAACAAAAGCAGGAAATCCTGTTTTACAAAGGGTCAGTAAGACTCAGAAAAAGTCACAGCCATTGTAAGTGAAAAGTCGCTTAATTAAGGTTTAGGGGTTTTTTTGTTTTGTTTTTTGAGATGAAGTCTCATTCTGTCACGCAGACTGGAGTGCAGTGGCACAATCTCGGCTCACTGCAACCTCCACTTCCTGGGTTCAAGCAATTCTCCGGCCTCAGCCTTCTAATTAGCTGGGACTACAAGCACACACCACCATGCCCGGCTAGTTTTTTGTTGTTGTTGTTTTTTGAGATGGAGTCTCCCTCTGTCACCCAGGCTGGAGTGCAATGGCGTGATCTTGGCTCACTGCAACCTCCACCTCCCAGGTTCAAGCGATTTTCCTGCTTCAGCCTCCCGAGTAGCTGGGATTACAGACGCCCACCACCGCGCCCAGCTAATTTTTATATTTTTAGTAGAGGTGGGTTTCGCCATGTTGGCCAGGCTGGTTTTGAACTTCTGACCTCAGGTGATCTGCCTGCCTCGGCTTTCCAAAGTGTTGCAATTACAGGCATGAGCCACCATGCCCGGCCTAATTTTTGTATTTTTAGTAGAGATGGGGTTTCACCATCTTGATCAAACTCCAAACCCCTTGGCCCAGCCAAGGTTAAAGTTTTTGTTTGTTAAGAAGCACAGTTACAGAAAGAATTACAATTACCTTCCATGGCAACAGCACTCACGCAAACATGGTGAACATTCCTAAAACCCACAGGATTTTCTGTAATAAGTGTGGCAAGCACCAACCCCACGAAGTGACACAGTACAAGAAGGGCAAGGATTCTCTGTATGCCCATGGAAAGTGGTGTTATGACAGGAAGCAGAGCGGCTATGGTGGGCAAACTAAGCTGATTTTCCAGAAGAAGGCTAAAACTACAAAGATTGTGCTAAGGCTTGAGTGCATTGAGCCCAATTGCAGATCTAAGAGAATGCTGGCTATTAAAAGATGCAAGCATTTTGAACTGGGAGGAGATAAGAAGAGAAAGAGCCAAGTAATCCAGTTCTAAGTGTCATCTTTTCTTTTATTATAAAGACAATAAAATCTTGAGTTTATGTTAAATAATACTAATAATTACAATTATCATTTAGTCCAAAACCCTCAATTTTCAAGATGGAAAAACTAAGAAACTTGTAAAAGATCACAAGTTAAGAGCAAAGGTCCCAGAAACTGCGTCTCTGATGTAAATGTCCAGTGCTCTGGTTTTTTAAGACAAAGCATCACTCTGCCATGCAGGCGGGAATGCAGAGGCATGATCTCAGCTCACCGCAACCTCTGCCACCTGGGCTTGAGCAATCTGCCCATCTCAGCCTCCTGAGTAGCTAGGACTACAGGCATGTACCACCATGCTCGGCTAATTTTTAAATTTTTTGGTAGAGATGTGGCCTCACTACATTTCCCAGGCTGGTCTCCAACTCCTGCGCTCAAGCGAACCTCCCACCTTGGCCTCCCAAAGTGCTGGGATTACAAGCAAAAGCCACTGCACCCAGCCTTCCAGTGCTGTTTTTTCTTTTCTTTTTTTGGAGACAGAGTCTCACTCTATCCTCCGCGATCTTGGCTCACTGCAACCTCCGCCTCCCAGGTTCAAGTGATTTTCATGCCTAAGCCTCCCGAGTAGCTGGGATTACAGGTGCCCACCACCATGCCTGGCTAATTCTTGTGTTTTTAGTAGAAATGGGGTTTCGCCATGTTGGCCAGGCTGGTCTTGAACTCCTGACCTCAGGTGATCCGCCCACCTCAGCCTTTCAAAGTGCTGGGATTACAGGTGTGAGCCACCATGCCCAGCCCAGTGCTCTGTTTTTAAGTTTCCCAACTTGCCCACTCATATCACCTGGGATACTTACTAATTGTACAGTATGAATAGAACCTAAATAAATGTTCTTGCCTTGAGACCCTTCCACACAGCTAGTAGTTTTTTCTTAAAGCTCTAATTGATGCCCCTTTCCTTAGAATATGCTTAGAAAATCTTCCACTGATTACAAGTTAAAGTCCAAACTTCTTAGTGTAAAATACGGCCCTCTTCAGTATCTCACTCTACCACATTCTCCAGGTACTTTCCATTTCCATACGTCCTAAGTATACCAACCTTTTTTGAAACAGTAACTTTTGCTCTCTCCTCTACTTCATGAAGAGTTGCTCCCTTTGTCATGGTCATCACACTTTCTTCTCCTTCTTTGATTCCCAATTCAAATGTCATCTTGTCTTTGAAAGACTTCTATCCTCCCAAGTAATCACTATCTCCTGTGTGTCCATACACTTGTTTACACCGCAATAATCTCATTTATTACACTACTTTAATTTCATGATTGCCTGTTTCACATGTCCTGGGGAGAGACCACTTTAATTTACCTCCGTATGCCTGGTTTCTAAATCAGATCTTCCAAAGAACACACTCGATAAATATTTGCTGAACAAATGAATTGGGTAAATAATACAGTTAAGATACCAAAAAAGATGTGAATAAAGCAAGCAGGAAGAGGCAACGATAAATGAATATACAGAAAAGAAACCAGCAGGAAGCAGAACAGGCTCCAACCTACTTCCATTAAACCCTGCAGAAATCAGAGTTGTGCAACATGGCTCTCCTGTAACTTGGCTTTTCTTTCTTTTGAGTATACTTTTAAAGAAAGGTTTATTTCCCATTGAATTCTGAAGGTTTTTTATTGAGAGTGAGGAAGAAGGCTCAGGTTTTTTAATTACTTCGTGATTCAATATTTTGAATCATTTTGATTAAATAAATTTGACTAATGGTTTGACATTCAAAAGCACAATCATCAATCATCAACTTCCTGCAGGGGTGTGTGTGTGTCTATATGTATATATGTGGGTATAGATATCTTTTTTTTTTTTTTGAGACAGATTCTCGCTCTGTTACCCAGGCTGAAGTTCAGTGGCATGATCTCGGCTCACTGCAACCTCAGTCTCCTGGGTTCAAGTGATTCTCCTGCCTCAGCCTCCCAAGTAGCTGGGATTACAGGCGCGCACTACCATGCCCGGCTAATTTTTTGTATTTTTAGTAGAGACGGGGTTTCACCATGTTGGCCAGGCTGGTCTTGAACTCCTGACCTCATGATCAGCCCACCTCAACCTCTCAAAGTGCTGGGATTACCGGTGTGAGCCACCGTGCCTGGCCTTTTTTTTTTTTTTTTTTTTGAGACATGGCCTTGCTACATTACCCAGGCTAGACTCAAACTCCTGATCTCCAGAGATCCTCTTGCCACCTCAGCCTCTCGAGTAGCCAGGACTACAAGTGTGCACCACTGTGCCCAGCTTCCTGCAGGTATATTTTATAAAACTTTCTCTAGGGTGTCTGCCACTCCCAGCATGTGCTAGGTACACACAGCCAACGTCCAAACTATACTTGCTGATCAGCTGAGAAAAATGTTCCTGTCTCATTCAGTTCCCAAGGAGATCAAGGTCAGTTTTATATTAATGTAAACCAAAAATAAAATTCTAAGGCCCCCCAACCATCTGAATGGACTTCCTTCTCATCCAGGGCACTGTTAAAATTTAACCTGAGGCTGGTTCAGGCCATGATGGGAAGTGGGGTTCAGACATACTCATTAAACCTCACTGGCATTAACATCAACACAGATAGTCTGATACAAAGCATTTACAATCTATCCTCTCAGAAGCCTGCCACCCAGAGGCTTCATCTGCATGATAAAACTTTAGTCTTTATAACTTCTTACCATCATAACCCAGTCTTTTCCTTTCTACTGATCCCAGACCTTTAGATAAACTCAACCGATTGTCAACCAGAAAATTTTTAAATCTACCTATAAACTGAAAGGCCACCCTCCCCTTCGAGTTGTCCCACCTTTCTGGATGGAACCAGTGAATTTCTTAAATGTATTTGATTGAAGTCTCTTGTCTCCCTAAAATGTATAAAACCAGCTGTACCACAACCACCTTGGGCACATGTTCTCAGGACTTCCTAAAGGCTGTGTCACGGGCCGTGGTCACTCATATTTGGCTCAGAATAAATCTCTTCAAATATTTTAGAGAGTTTGGTTCTTTTCATCAACATGAGAAGAGCCTGAGCAAAATTACCTGCTAGTTTATAGTTTCTGCAGTAAGACGAAATTTACAGAATACATATATTCCCCACCTGAGCATTCATTCATTCTTTCATTCTACCATTCATTTATTCATCAAACATGAATGGTCATTATAATAAAGGGATTTGGCCAGGTGTAGTGGCTCACACCTGTAATCCCAACAACTCAAGAGACTAAGGCAGGAGGATTGATGAGGCCAGGAGTTCAAGACCAGCCCAGACAACACAGCAAGACCCCATCCCTACAAAAATAATAATAAATAATAAAGGGATTTGGGGAATGCCAAGAGAACCCAGAGAATAGAACAAACACTACTTGAGAGGTAAATCAAAGTAAGGTACATGTAATCACGGAGGTAACATTTGTGTAAGAATTATCTGAGGTCGGTGGCAAACTGAATGAACTCCAAGTGTCCTTGGAGTGAATGACATTGCATAGTGTGCGGATAGGCTCTGTTATAAAGAAAGGAAGTTTCTGAACCTAAGAGAAGGACTAGTTAAAAGGAGGAAAGCACAAGAGCCAGTGTAACACTAAAACCACTCCTACTCCTATTCAAAAACTGTGTGATTTGAGAGTGATGTAATTTCAAAGAAGTCACTTCATCTTAAGAGGTGCAAGAGGCCAGGTGTGGTAGCTCACACCTGTAATCCCAGCACTTTAGGAGACCAAGGCAGGCAGATCGTTTGAGTCCTGGGTAATACAAGGAAACACCATCTCTACAAAAAATACAAAAATTAGCCGGGTGTGGTGATGTGTGCCTGTAGTCCCAGCTACTCATGAAGCTGAGGTGGGAGGGTCACTTGACCTTGGAAGGCGAAGGTTGCAGTGACCTGAGATTGTGCCACTGCACTCCAGCCTGAGCGACAGAATGAGACTCTGTCTCAAAAAAAAAAAAAAAAAAAAAAAAGAGAGTTAAACCTTTAGAAACCCAGTAGTCTTCAAATTACGCTCCTTGGAGTTCTAAAAGTTTCAAGGCGGTACAATAGAGGTGGGGTAGAGAGGAAAGGGGGAAGGTTGGAATGGACACCAACTTCAATGAGAGTGGCTCTGTTTTTGTGTTTTACATATTGAGGCTTCTCCATAAGATTTCATCTGATTTTTTTTTTTTAAGAGATAAATGACAACATACTGAACTCCATCCTCTTCATTTCAGAAACAACTAAATAGGTCAGGTGTGGTTCACGGCTCATACCTGCAATCCCAGCACTTTAGGAGGCCACAGTGGGAGGATCACTTGAGCCCAGGAGCTCAAGACTAGCCTGGGCAACACAGGGAGACTCTTTCTCTACAAGAAATTAAAAACTTAGTTGGGCATAGAACTGTAGTTCTAGCTACTCAGGAGGCTGAGGTGAAAGGATCATTTGAGCCCAGGAGTTCAAGGTTACAATGATCTATATTATCACGCCACTGCACTCCAGCTTGGGTAACAAAGTGAGACAGTGTTTCTAAGATAAATTAATGTAAAAAAACAAATAGAAGCCAAAGAGATTAAGTAACCAAGATCACACAATTTAAGAAAAACAGTAAGCCATGCTATTGATTTTGGACATTGCTGTGCAAGTCATGGAGAGCCAGTATTTAAAACACAGTATAAAGGTAAGTGTACTTGGCAGGGCACAGTGGCTCACGCCTGTAATCCCAGCACTTTGGGAGACCGAGGTGGTGGATTACCTGAGGTCAGGAGTTTGAGACCAGCCTGGCCAAGATGGTGTAACCCCATCTCTACTAAAAATACAAAAATTAGCCGGGCATGGTGGCGCACACTTGTAGTCCCAGCTACTTGGAAGGCTGAGGCAGGAGAATCGCTTGAACCCAGGAGGTGGAGGTTGCCGTGAGCTGAGATCACGCCACTGCACTCCAGCCTGGCTGACAGAATGAAACCCCATTTAAAAAAAAAAAGAAAAAAGTTGAATGTACTTGTTTACCCAGCATCAAGAAAAAGAAAGTCAAAATTGTCGCCGTCCCCCAAGTCCCCTTATGCTCCCTTCCAGCCTCTGTCCCACCAGTGAAACATGATCCCAACTTCGAATACCATAGATTCGTTCTGTCTGTTAAGGTACTTTATATGAATGAAATTATGTAGCCCATTGTGTCTCTTTTGTTCAGCATTTGTTCTATAAGTTGTGTCATTATAGATCCTGTGTTCTCAAAAAAGAAAAAAAACCACACACACATATAGTATATATTCTAGTTAGAGACCCAGATTTGGTAGTTATCAGAGATTAGGAATACTTGTAATGTCAGTGAATTA